AGAAGAGGATAGATTTAGAGTAGATATTAGGAAGAAATTGTTGGCTGTGGGGGAGGTGATCCCCTGGGGCAGGTCGCCCCGAGAAGCTGTGGCTGCCCCATCCCTGGAGGTGTTCAAGGCCAGGTTGGACGGGGCTCGGAGCAACCTGGGCTGGGGGGAGGTGGCCCTGCCCAGGGCAGGGGGGTTGGAACAAGATGAGCTTTAAGGTCCCTTCCAACCCAAACTGTTCTATGATTCTGTGAAATTGAATGTTACATTGGCATTTCTATAAATAGGTAGGATGACTTGGCAACTGTTTGCCACTTACGCGAGCTTCCATCGAAGGAAGAAGTCATGGAAAGCTGTTGATAAAAAACATCTCAGCGTAATCAGATCATTCGGCATATTAACATCTTGTCAGGCAAACTTTGTCTTGGTCTGCTGCTAGCTGATGGCTATCTGATTTAGCAGAAAAAATCTGGCATAAAAACTGTAAATAAAATCATTTAAAAGTAGTATGGTAAATGATGGAAATATTTTAATCGGTGTCTATCCATTTTACACAATTGAAGGAGAATGTAGGTCACATTTACTGGAGTGACCTGACATCAAAGGAGATGTACAGACACGATCATCCGCTGCCTCTGTTATTAAATCTACTGCTTCATTAGGGTTTTGACACAGCTCTTAAAAAATACTTTGTTTTGATAATAGACTTAGAGTGATGGATAACTTATCTAGGCCTGTGGATACAATACACCATTATCTATATTGCGAACAAAAATAAACCATGCTTTCCACATACATCAGCTGAGGTGAGAGGTGGACCTACAGGGACCTTTGTTGAAGGCTCTGGCCCTTGTCTTGCATGATACCAGCTGGATAACCGTGGGGGTTTCCGACTTGCTTGTTGCATTTCTCTAAGGCAAATGGTTTGTTCAAGCACCATCAGCCACTGAGGAAGACACTTGGTGTTTGATTTCTTAGAAAGTTAGCCTGGATCCTTCCGTGCAGCCTGCTCAGAGCTGTCCCTGCACTAGAAAAGAGTGTCACAGAATTGTTAGGGTTGGAAGGGACCTCTGGAGATCCCTTTTACCACTGACTCTTCTGAACGAAGATGAGACGGCGAATCCTGCATGGACTAAAGATTCATGTGAGAAAAAGACACTTTCATCAGTCCAGTGAAAAGGCCCGACCGAGAGCCTTTGGTTCACTTGGCCCCCGAACTGCCAGCCTGAGCAGGGTTTGGGGAGCACGTCTCCGTTTCGAATTCCTTGTCTCTGTGTATGGTTGCGCCAGCTGTTTCACCCAGCTGTGGCCTCGCTGTTGCATTTCTTACCAACCACCTTCTCTCTTACATACGTGAGAATTACTCGGCTGTAGGGGAGGACAGTATGAGCCAGCGCAGCCAAGCTCTGAGAGTCTCCTGTGCTGGTCTTGGTGCTGGTTTGCAAGCCCTTCGTCACGCTCCTGTATTAATTACCCTGCAGAGAGAGTGATGCAAAGTAATGCATTGCGACACCAAACACGCCCTCTGCCAGGAATCTGCGTGCACCCCAGCCAAGACGGCTGGACCTAAACTTACCGCTTGTGCGGAGCGGTGGCCTGAGATAATCTGCATCGCAGCACCGGTGCCCGCAGCCGTGCATCACTCCTAGACTGACCCGGCGCGAGCGGCAGTGCCGCGCTGTTGGCCAGCCACTGGTCAGCAGCCAAAACGTAGATGTTTCAGGCACTGATGTCCTTTGGTGCGTGACATACGCTGCATCATTAGGCAAAACCGTGGCTTGTTAGCCCCATCTCCTCCTGCTGATTTAAGTATGTTCAAGAGCTGCTCAGCAGAACGGCCGCTGTACTGCTGCTACAGGAGAGGACATCTGCCGTACCACTGCGATCTGTTATTTGACAACCAGCCTTGAGCAGAGGGGCTGTCCCAGGCATAATAAACCCCACTCGCTGACCCTCCAGTGTGTATCACACTTTGAGGAGAGTGCAGATCTTCAGAGCACATCTGGGGGCTTCAGCCACTTACTCCTAACCTGTCAATACTTTCCGTTGTCTGTGACAGTCGGGTGATGTGGAACACCGACTCCTGTTTCTGCAGGCAGGGAAAGCAGATTAGCTGGCACGGGTGGTTTCAGGATTGCGCCTTCACCCCCGGCACCCAGCTTGCTGAGTACTCCTGCGTCTGGTAACCCATCTTCATCCTCAGCCTTGAGGCTGCTGCTGGCTGAGAGCAGCTCCTGGGTCAGTGCCGCGCAGATCCCCGGAGGTGGCACCGTCCCCTCTCTGGTCCTGGGACTGCCGCTAAGTGGAGGTGGGGTTGGAATGACCCCGTAGGTGCTGCTCCCTGGAAGGCTACATGAACAAGCAGCCGGGTGGCGTAGTGCAGAGAAGCAGCACTTGTCTTGGAGAGGTAACTTCGCTCTTTCCTCACCTACGGCACAGGCTATTAGGAACGCCTGTCTGTCTGGTGACGTGTGAACGCCAGTAATGAGATCGCATGCCATTAGAAAAGGGATGTCTCGAGCTTCTCCTGGATCTGCTTCAGGTGTTCCCAGTCGTGTAAGGCCTGGTGAAGAAGTCCTTGCTGATCCGATGCTATGGGCTCGTGTAGCAACACACGGATCCCCTCTGCACCAAAGCAGGTGCGCGCTCAACAGGTCTCTTCACAGTACACAAAGGGGAAAATAAAAACCTTCTCGGACAATCATGACCAGCCCCTGAAGCAGCCACAGTTGATATACTCTGTGCTGGGGACAGCAGCCCGTCTGGGTACCGCTGGTAGTTTCAGGTGACCAGAGCCTGGCCAGATGTGTAAAGAGTAGCTGTGGCCTTTCTGCTTCCTCTCCTTAATGGATCTGATGGTTCTGAACATCTGCAACAGTCTTCTCTTGATAAACAGACAAAGGAAGCTTTTTTCCTTCGTCACATCACACAAGCTCCTCTGTGCTCTAAGTTGGGCATCCCCTGTGCAAAATTCCTTCATCCTGGATGGGCACTGAAGCAAGATGGGCTGGAGCTGGATGATGTAAGTGCGCTGCCTGGGTCCATCTGAGAAAGTGCCTTCCCTGGAAATGGCGTTCTTTTGGGGGCAGGAGCAGATTTTCCAACCAGGAAGGCAATTGAAACCTCACTGATGAAGAATGGCGTTCATTTGAACAATGTAGATGTCCATCAACAAGTGGCTCTCTGCTCCCAAGCTAGTGGTCTCCTGTAGGACCAGTATGAGAGAGCCACCGCGTTGGGGTGCTGAAAGCCCCCCATGTCTGCAATAGCACAGGTGGATGGTGCACGTGGGGTTTTCTCTGCTGACTGTGAAAGAGGCCTGGAGCCGCTAACTCAGATACAGACACAGGAGGAGTGAGTTCCCCCCGTCCTGGCATCGTTCAGAGACGTTCTCATTTCATCTGTGGTACTGGGAGGTGCGTGAGGCTTTAGGGACCTTGTGGGAACAGATGTGACTCTGGGAGTCACGCGTGCCCGGGAGGCTCCGGGGCCGTTTCAGTGTCTCAGCTGATGAATACTGTAGGCATCTGGCAGTAGCTCTGGTTCCTGCATTGAAGTCAAGCTGAGCCTCGCGTGTGTGTTCTTGCTGAACCAATATGCAGAGATTTTCAGAGGCTCCTGGACATTCCTGTCCAACTGCTGCTTGCTTTCAGCCACACTGTCTCAACCTCTCTCTCTCTCTCTCTTTTTTGTAGCTGAAACCCCAATTGAGGAGTTCACCCCAACCCCAGCCTTCCCAGCGCTCCAGTACCTGGAATCGGTGGATGTGGAAGGTGTCGCTTGGAGAGCAGGGCTTCGCACGGGAGACTTTCTGATTGAGGTGAGCCCGGAGGTGGCAGGGAGGGTGACCGATGGCGTCGTCCTCGGCAGGACAAGGGCCTGTCTCCTGCACAAAATTATTTTCCTTTATAAGGTGTTTTGAGAGCGGGGTAATAATTGTTACTGAAATGCTGCCTGGATGTCTTGATGAAAAAATGTTCCTCAGGTACAATAATTCAAGCAGATACATGCTCTGTGTGCTAGAAGATGTGTTGACAGGTTCCCTTCTGCTGACTGAAATTATGGGGAAAATGGAGGTTGGAGAAAAGACTCGTTAGATGCTCTCTCTGGGGACCAGTGAGGATTGTTTTGTACTGATATTTATTACAGCTTTGCCCGATGTGGTGCAAGTATTGGGGTCTGCAGAGAAGAGTTTGACCGGGTAGGTCGGGCTCTGCTCTTGCATCTCCCCCGTGGCCCGTTCCCTTTCTGGAGAAGGCGATGTTGGAGGCTGTGTGCTGCCTTCACTCATTCCGAGGCCATGGCCGGCTGGATTTTCCTGGTTGTGTTTGAAAGAAAGGAAAGGAAGGATTGCGGTCACTGGCAGCTTCACGTAAACAAGTGGCGCGAGGGCTCAGCAGGGAGGTGAAATAGAGGGTGCAGTCTCGCCAGGGCACGAGCAGGAGAAGACCGGGATAGGGCTCTGAACCTGGCTGGCAGGTCTCCAGCAGCGCTTGCGTGCTCCCACAGCTTAGCATGATGATGATGATGATTAATAATAATAATAATAATAATATTTGTATTAGTGTATGCCCAGAAGGGGTCAGGAGAACCTTGTGGTGGGTGCTGTGTGGTGCGTGGCGTCTGTGCCGTAGGGGTGGTGACGGCTGTCCCCCAGCACAGGGGATGGCGCGCGTGCTGCCGTGCTGCCGCTGGCTGTCTCTGGGCGGTGGGATGACACTGCACGGAGCAGTCTCGGCACATCGGCTGCTTCGTCTTGTGGTGAACCCAGCAGAGGATAGCTTTAAGGAGAGATTTAAAAAAGAGCGGAAGCATTAATTTGCTAACGTTTGTAGGGACTCTCCTCGCTATGAGAGGAAAGTGTAGGAGACATTACAGCGGTGCTTGCAAGTGAAAGTGATGTCCAGAATCCATGCCAAATGGGTATGGCGTGAATCGGCCAAGTCTGCGTTTCTTGAAGGCAGAGAAAAGGCTGTGACAATACGGCCGTTGGGAAATGCTGAAAGTGTTTGTGAATCACTCGGTCAGGACGGCCGTTTCTGTGCCTTAATTGTGAAGGGATCCCGCGGCGTTTGTGTCAGACGGAGATGTGTGCGCTGTGGGTGCAGGCAGGGCTGTGAGGTGAATCCTGCCCCTTCCAAGGGCACAACGGTGGCAGGAGAGGTGGAGTGAGGTGGAATGGACACCGGGTCTGTGAGCGACCGTGTGTTAGATGGGGTGGGAAGGGGAACTCTGCTCTCTGTGAAGGTTTGAGGTGGGTGGCATGGTTGGGCTTCGCTGGGAATCTCACAGCAAGTGCTGAGCAGCACAGTCCGTACGGTCACAGGAAGGGTTGGCATCCCATGGGATTTCGCTTTCTCGCATCTTCCCATTCAAAAATCATACGGCTTTAAACCCAGTGATGCAGTCTGTGAAATCCGCATTGGTCCGACGTGGTGGTGGTGTGGTGCGGGTTGTGGTTGTGCGTGGTGTAAGGCACAGCAGAGCCGCGCGCTCCGGCAGACAGACGTGTGAAGCTGTGCTGGTTGTGGAAGTGCTGCTGGGACAGGTGAGGTGGACGGTGGGGCTTCGCTCGGCTCAGCCGCTGCCGTGCGCTCTGCAGTCAGAAGCTCACACTGAAAAATGCTCTCGTTTCCAGGGGTGGTCATCACCCCTGGTCCAGGCGGTTGGTCGATACACCCTGCAGCTCCCAGCAGTGCTCTGTGAGATCTTCGAGCAATACTTTTTCTGGAGCGAGTACCTCGGACAGAGTGAAGGACTGGACGTTGGATGCGTAGTTGACAGAAAGCCCGTGCCCGAAGCAGGGACCGGCTGTGGTGTGTCCGTGCCGAGGTGCTGCGGGTGCTTCACCCAAGAGGAGTCCCAGGGGTGGTGCGGTGCCCACGCGTGTGGCCCTGCTGCAGGGTGGGAGGACCGACAGCCGCCGTGCGGGGACATGGAGCCGCGTGCTGCCAGGAGCACGGGGAACCCCACGGCTGGTGGACCACAGGGGAAGAGGCGAGGGGAGCCGGGCTTGGGGACCTCTCAGCAGAGGTGCAGGTCAGCGCTTGGCCTTACTTCCCGTGGGAAGAGCATACTCCTCCTCCACTCTCCTTTCTGCGGTTAGCGGGGCACAGATTAGCGCTCTGGACCAAACCTTCTGGAGAGCAGCTCCCGGGGAGGCCGTTTGTGCTGTCCATCCTGCGCATGGGCGCAGTTCTTGCAGCTGGACGGTGCCCGAAAGCTGCGAGCAGGAGGCAAGTGCTGGCGAAGGCTGTGTGACCCAAGTAGCCTGCTGCCAGCGGCGGCGGCTGCCATGTTGGTGTGTCTTCTACAGCCTCTAAAGAACACCAGTGAAGTACCAATTCTCATAAACCCAACAAAATCGTTATAGCGCTGATACTTTCTCTGGTGTGTAGTATGAGGAACATCACAAAGCGAGGAAGAATCTCTAATGCATCCAAAGCCGGATGGGGTGCGAGGAGGAGGTTGGTGCTGCAGTAGAGCCGCCTCGTCCCAGCCGAGCCTTGCGGTCCCTCTCCACTCCCTCCCAGTTGGGATGCTCAGCTGCAGGATAAATGCATTTCGCTGGTAACCTGCCCTCAGCGGGTTGCCGTTTCCCTGGGATGAGCCGGCTGAGCTGACTTCCCCCGTGGCTGCCTGGTCGTTACAGCTACGGCACGCGGAGCAATGAGCGTGTGTGGTGTTCCTGGGAGGGGAGCGGGAGGGGGGGTCACAGTGAGCACCGCAGCTTTGCCGCAGTGTGAAGCCACATCCTGAGGGCAATATTTAGGAAGGAGGTGTTGTGCTATAGCTTGAGACCTTGTACAGGTCTGTGGGACCACCTTCATCAACCTGTCTGGTGTATGGATTAGAGGTGTGTTCAATTTAGATTGAAGATGCATGGGCGTTTTAAGTTTGAGACTTCATTTCTAGCCTTGTAACTTGTAGCCTGAGACCATCTCTTGCTGAAAGTAATGTTTTAATCTTTTAGCTTTAAAGTTTTCTTAGTATTGGTGATCGGTGCTAGCCAGCCAGGTACGTGTAAGGCACTTTCACACTGGAGGGAGCAAATTCAAGTAAAGCCGCGCAGGCGGAAGCCCCGAGAGGTGTTTCCAGGCAGAGGAGTGTTTGGTGACAGTGGCAGTCTCCATGTGAGAGCTGGCCTTGACCAGCAGTGGGGAACAGCTCCTCCAGTGCCATGGAACGGCTCCTCCATGCAAGGACCAGGTGGCAGCAACACTGCTTACAGCTCCAAGCGAGCCCTCACCTGCCTTACGCTGCCTCACGCTAATTCAGCAGTTACATCAGCTGCTGAAGCTGGGGGAGGGGTGGCTGGTTGTGGATGTGGAGGCAGTCTGGTGGACACTCCAGCAGTTCCCTTTCCTCCACGAGGGTCCCCGCTGGGGGAAGGAGTGAGATGTGTTTCTGCGTGCCTTGGCACGAGGAGCCAGCAGAGCTCCCGGCAGGTTGTCCCTGGGAACCCAACTGCTGGTGACCTGAAAGAGGCAGCAAAGACCGGAGAAGGAGGCCCACAGAGGGGAGTTCAACGTTAGCGTTGAGGCTTTTGATTCATTGATACCAACCTACAGCAACTTTAGTACAGGACCTGACTTGCACCATGTTTAAGCTGCAGTGCCCTAGCCCTCTGGTCAAGCCTGATGTGCCACACTCCTTTTTAGCCTTCCATTTCTCACCAGCACCCTCCGTACCAATGGAGGGCTCAGACTGGACCGGACTAAGGCGACAGGCTGAAGCCTGCTTGGTCGGCGAGTTGGGGTGCGTTGATCCTGGCTTTGTCCATGAGATCCATAGGATGGTTATATGGGGTTCAGGATATGCATTTGTTGAGCGTTGATGTCCTCACCTGATGCTTCCTTCAGCAAGACTGGTCTCTGTTCATGTTTCGCTAGGAAACCTCTACCTAATTTTGTGAAGGTGGAAGATTTCACCAGACCCCTCCAGGAGGAGGAGACAATCTTAAAGAAGGGAAGTGAGAGCTCCCTGGTAACTGTCAGGAGCTTTAAATCCAGTCGCCCAGTAGATGCCAGGCCGCTGCGGCTCCGCGTTCCCCGTTTGGTCGGTGGTGGGCTGAGCGTGCGTTCCCGATGGGGACACGTACACACGTATGCGCAATATACGTGTGAGCACATGGCCCGCCACACGGATCGGAAAACACACAGCATCGTGCAAACACAAACAGCACAGACAGCCTGAGTAAAGAGTATATACATATATGTGTATACAATATGGATCCCTCTAGTAGCTGGCCTTGGACCTCCAGTCTGCCCAGTAGCTGGCCCCTGGCTCCCCCAGTGTCCCCGGTTGCTGGCACCTGCGCGTGTGCACCCCTGAGACCCACATCCGCACCACGCTTGCTGGTGGTCGGATCTCTTGACACACGTGCGCACACACGTGCGCTGCATCCCCAGGCCTTACACACTCGGTCCGTCCAGCCGCTGGTCCCCAGTCCTCGGGTCTCCCCGGCTGCCGAACACACACCAACCCAAACCGGTCCCACTGGCAGCTGCTCCCAACGCTGGGCCTTGCCGGTAGCTGACTCTCAAACCCACTGGTCAGTCTGGTCCCGCCAGTAGCCAATTCCCAGAACCCAGTCTCTCCAGTATCTGCCCCAGGGCTACGGCCTCTCCGATACGTGACTCCGAGCCTCTTACCCTACTCACTGGCCAGTCCAGCCTGACGATTCCTCGCAAATTCAATGCACCTACACGTGCATCGACATGCAATATGCGTGCAGTGCTGTCCCTGGAGTTGTTGGCACCACAGCACCTATGGGACCCTTCCACCCGCGGCCCCTTCCCCAGCTGCCGGCAGTGGTGC